ATAAGTTTTGAAAATGTGAATCTTCTAATTTTCTTTCTTTTCCCCCCCAAAAATATATCTTTACTGATTTCAGAGAGCAAGGGAGAGGGAGAGGGAGAGAGAGATAGAAACATCAATGATGAGAGAGAATCATTGATCAGCTGCCTCCACACCCACTACTGGGGATCGAACCCACAACTCAGGCGTGTGCTGGAATCAAACCTAGAACCCTTCAGTCTACAGGCCGATGCTCTATCCACTGAGCCAAATCAGCTAATGTGAGTCTTCTAATTTTCTAATAATTTTCTAATATTGGAGTCTATCTGAGCCAAACAGATGACATGACTGGAAACAAGATTTCAAATGCTCCCGGTCTTTGCTATTTTAAATGGAATTGTTTTCTTAATTTTGTTTTTAGATTTGTTCATTGCTATTATATAGGAGTAGAATTTATTTTTGAATATTCATCTTGTATCCTGCAAATTCAAGTTTAGTAATTGTGCTAAACGTATTTATTTTTCAGAATATTTTTTAATCGTCACCTGAGGACACGCTTTTTAAAAAATTGATTTTTAAAAATGTTTTTATTGATTTTTAGAGAGAGAGGAAGATGGACTGAAAGGTCCCAGGTTCGATTCCGGTCAAGGGCATGTACCTGGGTTGCGGGCACATCCCCAGTAGGAGATGTGCAGGAGGCGGCTGATCGATGTTTCTAACTCTCTATCTCTCTCCCTTCCTCTCTGTAAAAAATCAATAAAATATATTTTTTTAAAAATTGATTTTTAAAAATGTTTTTATTGATTTTTAGAGAGAGAGGAAGATGGAGAGAGATGGAAACTGATGAAAAACATTGATCCACTGCCTCCTGCACGCCCCCTAGGGGGATCAAGCCTGCAACCTGAAATTGAACCCGCCACCTCTTGGTGCATGGGAGGACACTCAACCAACTGAGTCACACCAGCTAGGCTAAAATTGATTTTGAGAGAGAGAGAGAAAAAAGAAACATCCACCAGTTGCGTCTTGTACATACCCCAAACCGGCAACCTGGGTATGTGCACTGACGGGAATCGAACCTGACACCTTTTAGTGTATGGAACAGCACTCCAACCAACTGAGCCACACCCAATAGGGAGTAGAATTTATTTAGTTCTAATAGTTTTCTTGTGGATTCCTTAGGATTTTTCATATACAAAATCATGTCATCTCCAAATACAGAGTTATATATTGTCTTTTCCATTCTGGGTACATTTTATTTCATTTTCTTGCCTCATTTTCCCAGCTAGAAGAACTTCCAGTACAATGTTGAAGTGGTGAGAACAGATATCCTTGCCTTGTCCTGATCTTAGGGTGAAGGCTTTTAGCCTTTTTCTGATAAATATGATGTTAGCTCTGGGTTTTTCATAGATGCCCTTTATTCCATGGATGTTAAAAATAAACACATTGTTCTCTATGCACACCATATTCTGTTATGCTTCAAGGCTTTGCACTATTGCTTCCTCCTTTCTGTCCCTGGCAAACTCAAGGTTCAATCCAAATATCTGAGATGCTTCCCTTGACTGTTTCTAATAGAGTATATCCTTCCATCCTTAGAGTTGCTACAGCAATTTTTACATTTCTCTGCATGTTTTATACAGGATTGTAATGATTTGTCTCATAGTTTTCTGAGCTCTTACAGGCAAGGACCACAGCCTTTCCCCAAGATCTGAGGCAGCACCAGACAGTAGTGGATAATCAGTAAAAATTGGTTGTCTGGGGTCCAGGCTAGGTTGACTGAATGGGAGGAACGGGAGTGGCCTTCATGATCTTCATGTAACTTTTTAAGGTTAGAAATGTACCCGTGTATCCTTTTAATGTTCCCCTCAATCTATTATGGCTCTTAGTTGTGAACCCAGATAAAAAAATTTCTAAAATCTGTTCATGTTTCATTCAGTACAAGCTCTCCAAGGAGAGTAGTAATTTCCTTGTTTGCCTGAAAACTCTATCCAAGTTCCTGGAGTACCTTCTAAACTTAATATTACAGGTTAAGTAATACTTTCTTTCGCAGTGTTTAGACATATTTTCTATCTGGTATTTAGTAAGAAGATTGAGGCTCCCAGTTTCAAGATCTGGCTACTCTAATTGCTTACCAGTCATAGTACCTTGAATACCTTACCTTTCAAATCTCAGTAAAAGCCCAAAAAATAATAATCATTTTTTCATGGGGTTATTGATGAGGATCCAATGAGATCATATGGTTGGTAATTTTAGAGAAACTGACAAGATCTTAGTTTTTTTAGCTACACACATTGACCCTTTCCACCTAGACTGTGAATTGCGTGGGAACAAGCGTCTGTTATCTTATGTGCTTCATTGGTTCTCTGCAAATGCTCTCATTATGTTTTTAAAATTTTTTACTTAATGACGAGAGAGAGAGAGAGAGAGAGAGAGAGAGAGAGAGAGAGAGAGAGAAGAAGAAGAAGAAGAAGAAGAAGAAGAAGAAGAAGAAGAAGAAGAAGAAAAAGAAGAAGAAGAAGAAGAAGAAGTTAGAGATGGAGAGAGAGAAAAACTTCAATTTGTTGTTCCACTTATTTATGCATTCATTAGGTGCTTCTTGTATGTGCCCTGACTGGGCATAGAACCCGAAACCTTGGTTCTTTAACCTTGGCAGCCGATCAATGATTCTCTCTCATCATTGATGTTACTATCTCTATCCCCTTCTCCCTTCCTCTCTGAAATCAATAAAAATATTTTTAAAAAGATCAATATTGGAGTCAAAAGTGAAAACCCCACAGATATTATTCTACAGAATGTGTGATGCAGTTTATAACTGTGAAGGCACTGTGGTGTAGAAAGAGCAGCCAGAAGGGGTTTGAGGCCTGGCTCTGCCACTTAATGGCAGGTCCCTGATTTTCACTCATTTCCATTTTCTCAGTAGTTGAATAGATTAAAAATAATAATACCTATTTCAGGGGACTGTGGAGATTAAAGTTTTTATGAGTTCTCAGATAATATTATGATTAGTACTGAGAGCCCAGTAGCATAGCCTCAGAATGGATTGGCAGAGGGGAAGGAGATAGGAACACTGGTGCTGTGGGAACCTGTGGGTAATGGTCCTATCTTCTCTGGAAGAGGCTGGCCTCAAATTTTTGATTTTTCTAAGAATCCCTCTCTCTAGGACCAGGCCACGCTTTCCTACCTCCAGGCCTTTGCTCTCCCTTTATCTTTTGAGTTGAGAGCACTGTATCTGTCTCCTAGGCTCTTGCTTGAGGGCTTCCTGCCTCTAAGTAAAGTCTTACTTCCTTTGAGATGCAGCCTTTTGGTGTCTAAACCACTGGCCTCTCCCTCCTCTTTAATATTCTTAGTATTAGATGGATTACTCTTGAAGGATGGCCTGTGCCCTGTATTTCGGTTGGTACTGATCTATAAAACAGGCACTGTTTGCTAAAAGAATGAACAAATATTCACTTTTTGAACTTCTATCATGTGTCAGACTTTGGTGTTTCAAAGTTGAGTAAGACCAAGTTCCTCCTATGCCAAAACCGGTTTGGCTCAGTGGATAGAGCGTCGGCCTGCGGACTGAAGGGTCCCAGGTTCGATTCCGGTCAAGGGCATGTACCTGGGTTGTGGGCACATCCCCAGTGGGAGATGTGCAGGAGTGGCCTGTGCCCTGTATTTCGGTTGGTACTGATCTATAAAACAGGCACTGTTTGCTAAAAGAATGAATCAATAAAATATATTTAAAAAAAAAAAAAAAAAGAAAGAAAAAAAAAAAAAAAAAGACCAAGTTCCTTCCCTTAAGGAGCTTACCATTTAGTGGAATAATTTAAGAGGCACTTGTGTTATCTTGTTTAACCTCGGAGCAACCCTTGGAGGAAGCTGAAGGTTTAGAGATTTGCCCAAAGTGGCAAAGCCAGGCCAGGGCTGGTCTGAGAGGCAGACCCAGAGGTGGAAATCCTAGTCTCCTACGGCCCCACCACCGAGTGCCTAGAAGCTCACCCCTCACTTCCAAGAGTAGTGCCCAAAGCTGGGAAGGAGTCGGGAAGGTGGCTGTAGTGTACATCAATGGAGAGCTCCAGCTCCTGGCTCTAGTCCATCCCAGCTCTGGCACTCACTAGCTTTGTTACTGAGTTACTGAGTCGCTCAGAGCATCAGTTTTCTCATGTTAAAGAAGAACACTGTAGGGGCACCCATTGCTTTCACCCGTACAATAGCCAGTTCTGCTTCTGCAAACAGCACCAGGCGTTGCTTTCCCTCTCCCCAGTAGTCAGTGCTATGGCTCGGGTGGCATGTTACGCAGGCTAGCCAGTCACTTGCTCTCTGGAAATGAATCTTCAGTGGGTGACCCAAAGATTGAATCCCACTGGAGTTTATTCACCCAGGTGACAAAAATATTACTGGTTCTACTCCCTGGACCTCAGGGACCTCCCTGGTTCCTGAACTTTTGTTTTTTTAAATATATTTTTATTGAGGAAGGGAGAGGGAGAGATAGAAACAAGAATGATGAGAGAGAATCATTGGTTGGCTGCCTCCTGCACACCCCCCACTGGCGATAGAGCCTGCAACCTGGCCATGTACATGCCCTTGACAGGAATCGAACCTGGGACCCTTCAGTCCGCAGGCTGATGCTCTATCCATTGAGTCAAACCAGCTAGGCTGTTCCTTTTATGACTAGTTCTGCTTCTCCTTCCATTCTGTTAGCTTCCTACCACACCCCTCTAATAATTTCCCTTTTTGTTTAAGTTCATTAGAACCCGTTGTTATTTCTTGCAACAACAAAAAAACTTTAATTGATCCAAACACCTACCTTGCAGTGCTGTAAGGATTAAGTGATTAAATGAAGTTTGTAAAGTGCCTAACCCAGTCCTAGCAGCATAGCGATCAGTAATGGGCGGTAGCTATCTGTAAGTTAACACAGGGTGGGGGGTGAGGGGGCATGGCACAGGGAGGAGGAGGGAGATTGTCATTGGTTTTGGTTCCACTGAGAAACCTTCCCCCAAGAGGTAGTTGAAGGACCACAGAAGGGAGGGGAGTCCAGGCTATGGTATGCTCATTTAATCAAAGTGTCTTTATTGAAACAGAACGATAGAGCAAGAAAGAATGAGGTCTGGGAGGATGTCTTTGGGCACAGGATGAAGCCCAGACCAGGTGGTTACGGTGTGGAGCTCTCTCCCTGTCCCCTGACTCTTGCCAAGGAAGTGAACACAAAGCAGCAGGGAGGAGATGGGGGTAGGGGCAGCCCTCTGAGCTCTACTCGATGGCTGGCCTGAGGTGCCTCTGAGCCTCCCAATCTTCTTACCAGGCAGGGCCTTATGTCACCTTTCCGTACGGGCCAGCCTCCTGCCAGGGTGCTCAGAGGCCACTCAGAGGGCAGGGTTGGGGGTGGCAAGCAGCGGGACATGGTCGCAGCGGTTAGGGGGTGGCTGCCGCAGCAGAGAAGGCCGGCGGCACAGCTCCCCGTCCCGGAGCACCTCAGGCAGGAGCTTGCGCTTGGTTTCCGGCAGAAGCATGATGCTGAGGATGCAGAGAAGGGCACAGGCCGCCAGCACTACATGCTGCAGGAAGGCTCCGTGGCCCATGTGGAGGCGCTGGGCTGGGTCACTCAGCCCTCCAAGTGCCCCCAGTGCCATGATCAGGCCCAGGCCTCGGCCCCTGGGAGAGATGGAGTTGGCGCTCAGCCTCTAGCTGTGGGAATCACCCCCACCCTTCTCCAGCAGCCTTCCCTCCTTCATCCCTTGGGCTTTGTCCTTGATGGATGACCGGGAGGCCTGGCCCTGCCCCTGGCAGCACCCTTACTCTCACCGGACAGTGGTGGGGATGACTTCAGAAGCAAGGAGGGTACTGAGGATTCCAGCGGCTTGGGAGGAGAAGAGGCCAAGGACAGAGAAGGTGGTGATGGCGGCCTCGTTCAGATCTGAAGGACCAAGGAGGAAGCGTGAATGGAGGCGGGAGACCATGCTTGGCCTAGTCCCTCGCTTCCTCCCCTCGCTCTCTGATCCTATGGCTAGGTGGGTGGGCTCTGGGCATTCACTAATCGATTGGGAGAACAGATAGGGTGTGTGGCCAGGGAAGGACTGTGGAGATCTGGGCAGGGGCTGGTCTTGTCTTAAGAGGCCTGTGCAAGCAGCAGTGGCTGAGCCTGCCTGAGGCTCCTCTGCCTGGGTTCCTTTGCTGAGCCCACACTATGGGGAAGGGAGGATGCTCACAATCCCACAGGCCCAGCAGGACCAGGGACGCAATGCCCGTGAGAGTCATCAAGAGAAGCAGGATGCCCCGGCGGCCAAATCGGTCCACGGTGACGCCCAGGAAGACGCAGGCCAGGGCCGCTGTGCCACTGGCTAGCAGGGAGCACAGGTAGAAGTCCGATGGGCTCCCTCCTCCTCCCACGGGCTGGTAGCAGTGGCGAATGGCGTGGGCAATAAAGCTGTGAGGAGTGGGAAAACAGAAGGGTGCCTGCATCTCCACCCGCAGCTTTCCACGGCCCTGGCTGCCCTCTGCGGGGGTCCTCAGGCCTCCTCCCGCCAGCCAGCCCCATCCCAGCTACTGGCCTAGCCCTTGGCTCAGACCCCAGGCTCACTTGGTGAAGCCCAGGATAAGCAGATTTTTCCAGATGTTGCGGTAGTTGAGGAGGGATGCCAGGGAAAAGGAGGATGTTGCAGGGAGAGGGCAGGTGTTCTCCAGGTCTTTGGGAGAGAGAAAGGGAGGAGCTGTCTGTTAGAAGGAGCAGCAGAGAACCCAGGGTCCTCCCACATGAGTGGTGGGGACCTTGGGAGAAGGTGCACAGCTATCACCATGCAGAGGGCACCGTCATGTGTGCATGTGAGAGAACATCTGTAGGGACCCCTGTCTCCTACCCTGCAGGGCCTCCTGGGCTTCCTCTCCCAGCATCTGCCCATGGGGCCGGTTCCGCTCAGCCAGGATCCTCAGCACCGATTGGGCCTCCTCAATCTGTCGCTTCACTATCAACCATCGTGCAGACTCCAGAAACAGACCAGGCCAGCTGGGGGCAGGGATGTGGGGTACACAGTGAAGCCTCCCATCTTCTGACACAGGGATGGGAAACTGCCCCCCTCTGAGGGGCTGGGGCTGGGGGAGGCCTGGACGAGGGGTAGTGGAGAAGAGGGGGGTCTCTGGGCTAGAGCTAAGCTGGAGGGGGAGATGAGACCGGACAGCAGGTGGAGGGTGATACTGACCCATAAAACAGGAAGAGGATGCAGGGAGCGGTGATCATTCGCTGCAGAAATCGCCAGTCCTTAGAGACAAGGGCCAGGCCCAGGAACAGGAAGTGCCCCCCCACCCCAACTAACTCCCCTGCCAGGGCCACCCGAAGCCTCTGGGTTGGGTCGCACAGCTCCAGGCCTGGAGATACAGCAGGGACAGGGAGGAGAGGTCAGGGAGGAAGGAGGCATGGGAGAGAGAGAGAGGGAGGGAGGAGGACAGAGTGAGGTCAGACCCTGCTTGGAGGCTGCAGCTGTCGCCTCCCACAGACTAACCTCTAAATGGCAAAGAGTGGAGAGATTATTCAGTCCTCTCTCCTCTCCTGTTCAAATGTGGGAGGGCTGGAGGGTCAGAGTCCCTGATGGGTGTTCAGCATTCCCAATTACAGGCCCTTTCACATCAGACCTTATATAACCTTCATAACAACCCTTGTTCAAGGTCACACAGCTGGTTAGGATTTCATTTTTAAAATAGGACTGTTCCCTGACAGCAGTACGTCTAGGGCAAGGAAATCCTTAAAGATAGTGGAAGGAGATGGGTGTGGATAGATGAAAGACCCCTGGATCCTCCAAAGGCCTGGGCAGTCAGACAGCTTAGAGTCTGGACAGCTGAAATTTGGGGCTGAAGAAGGGACTGAGAGGACCCTAGGGGGCAGTGGGAATGGCCTGGGTTGTAGACAGGCAGGGGTGAGCCCCAAGGGAAGGACCTCTTTGGAGGGTGCCACTCACGCATCAGGTAGACACCAAGGTCAACACCGGCAAGCAGGAAGCCCAGGAGGAATCGAAGGGCCATGACACCGGTGGAGGAGCCTGCAGCAGCCCCTCCCACTCCACAGGGGCCCACCAGCCCCAAGGTCAGCAGCACAATCCCACGACGGCCAAACCTGGAAAGTGTGCAGGGCCTCTGGTCACCCAGACTCCCTGGGGAAGGCATTACTGAGTGGGGCCCAGTTGCCCAATTCACAGCTGGAGGTATGAGGATGAGGCCTTGGGAGAAAGAGTTGGACTGAGGCTAGAGAAGATGGACGGGATTGGGACCATGGGTAAGCAATGTCTGGCAACCAGTCACTGGGGTATGGCTATGGTTCTGTGGGGGTGGGATCAGACTCTTGTGGATGGGGCCATTGATCAGAGCTTAGGGCATTTCTCTGTGGAAGTGAGACCGATTATCAGAGGGGATGGGATATTGCTTAGGGGACTTGGAACCATTCATCCTTAGTGATAGAGGTCAGTTGGGATGAAGCTTGTCTCGTTCAGACTGGTCAGAGTAGATGGGGTCATTGATATATGTATGGGGTTGGAGTTACTGATCAATGGAGGTGGGTCCATTGGCCACTTGTGCCTGGGGATAGTATTGGTCAGAGAAGATGGAGCTATTGATCTTAGGGAACTGAGTAATTGATTTTGGGGGGTGAGGCCATTGTCCCATGGGGTTGGGGCATGGGTCTGTTTGTCCATAAGGATGGTGAGTGGAAATGGGGCCACTGGCCAGAAGATGGAGCCACTAATCCATGGGCATGGAGATATTAATCCATGGGTTAGGACTATGGATCAGTGGGGATAATTCCTAATCTTGAAGATTGGTCAATTGATCTTTGGGGATGGAGCCATTGATTCATGGGGTGGGGAATCTTAGTCCATGTGGGTGGGGCTATTGTTCAGTGGGGAATGAATCTATGAATCCAGGGGGATAACCAGTAAGGATTGGATCACAGACCAGGGGAAATTAGACTAATGGTCAGTGATGATGGATAGGGCTACTCATCCTTAGAGGCGAGGCTATGATCTTTGGGGATAAGACAAAAGATCTACGGGGATGAAGATTGGGATCGCTGGTCATTGGGAGTAATACTATTGACCCAATAGAGTGGGGCCATATTTTCATGGAATGAGTTTATTGGTTAATGGGGCTAAAGCTACTGAATTTAGAAGACTGAATTATTGGTCTCAGGTGATGAGGCTATGATTTCATAGGAATGATGCTACTGGTCTGTGAGAGTGAGACCATTAATGCATGAGGATGGGCTGTTGACCTATGGATTTAGAATAATTTGCCCAAAAGGATGTGTGACTACTGGGCAGTAAGGATAGGTATTGATTTTAGGGAATTGGATTATTGAATGTTGGTTTGCCTTTGATCCCTGAGAGTTGATCTATTAATCCATTTGGATAGGACTGTAGATTAAGCAGAAATTAGTCTAATAATCCATGGGGATGGTCAGTGGAGATGGAGCACTTGGTCAGTGGTGACAGTATTGAGAATCAGAGGAGATGGGAGTTCTGATTCCTGGGGAAAGCTATTGGTTGGTGGGGATAAGCTGATCCTTAAGATGAGGCCACTGATTCATGGAAAAGAGGCGTTTGGTCTGAGAGGATCTGAGAGCACTGAAGACCCATGAGGATGGAACTTTTAATTTCTGGAGGGAGTGGTGCTATTGTGGTAATTGATCCATGGGGATTGGACTATTGACCCATGAGGGTGGAATCATTTGTTTATAGAGTTGAACTATTGGTCAATGGGAATGGGGTTGATGACAGTTAGGAATTAACACAATTATCTTTAGAAATGAGGCCATTGAGATGGAGCTAATAGTCCATAAGGATGGGGCTATTAATGGGGATGAATCCATTAATCTAGGAGGATGGTGAGGGAGGCGGTTAGTGATGATAGGAGCAATAGAGGAGGAGCTAGGACTTTTATATGTAGAGATAGGGTTTTTGGTCATGAAGATGGAGCTATGTGTCCGGAGATGATGCCGTTGATCCATGGATATGGGGAATTGGGGTGAAGTCATTCCCTGGTGCAGAAGGAGTATTTCTTGATGGGGAGTGCAGCTGAGACAGGGGTGGGGATGCATATCATTGAACAGAAGTCCCGAGAAGGTTGCAGAGTCCAGCGACCACTCTTCGGCCTCTTGCCAACACCAGCTGCCTGGGCTAGCCTGCCTAGCACCCCCTCCTCTCTGCTAGCCCTGTCCCTGGCAGCCCTCACCTGTCCGCAGGGTAGCCCAGGTTCAAGTAGCCGGAGGCAAAGCCCAAGATGAAGAGGATCTGCTCCAGGATCACCTGCCAGCCCAGGTCACACACCAGATCCCACTGGGGATGTGAGAGGGATGGAGTGGGTGTGAGGCCCTGAGTGGGTGGCTCCCAGCCTCCCTCAGACCCGGAGCCCACCCAGGCGCCTCACCTGGCCGATGGCATTGGTGGTGAGCACTGGCAAGCCGTTGTAGTCCCAG